AGAAAAGATGTTGGACACCTCAGAAAAGATGTTGGACACTTCAACTGCGCGCAAATGATGGGAGAAATCTGGCAGTTCATGCTCGTAGCATCGTGGACAGTTATGGGTTTTTTTATACATACACGCATGGATGAAAAGTAGCCATTGCATCGAAAAATGGTCGCTCTCATTCAAAATAACATACGTCATCTTTTCTATCAGAGCGACCTAATTGTATTCTTTTCAATTTCCCAAAGATCAATCTGTCATTACAATATCAAATTGGAACACTGCGGCGTAAGCACTTAGTTTACTTTCCCTTTTTTTTTTAAAAAAAAAAAAATAAAATAAACATAGACAAACCATTAGCACGAAAAAAAAAAAATTACTTTGATCGTTTAACGTTGGCATGTCGACACTTAAATTTTTCCAGATCATTATTTTTCAAAAGATCAAAACGTGATAAGATCTCAAACGAAGAGCCATGATCTACAACAACTTCCTTGATATTGCTGCATTGTCTAGTATTCAAATTAATTAGCATAAAAAAACTTGCTGCAATCAGTATTCTTTTTGACTTACTCCAAAAAAATCCTAATATCATTTGGTGATGTTGAAAGCCCGGCGTAGTCAATGATGACAAGGCGGAAAGGTTTTTGGCTGAAATGGACGCGTGCAACTAAATCTATAGGAAATCTTCAGTTATTATAATTATTATACTGATGTACCTGAGATATCGCCATGGGATCCTTTTAAATTCAGCAGTAAATCATCTTGCTTTGGTGAGTCTCTTTCTAATATTGGTTGGTCTGCTTTGCAAATTGGGCTCACGAATACTTCTTCGCACTTTCCGCGAAAGTATAGTTTGTTCACCATTAACTGTAATAAACGTATTCGTGATTCTTTTGTTTCGTCAGTTGGCGATTTACGTGCGTATCCAATTGTTATGTATTTGGTATCATGTTGTAAATATTTCCAGTATGCCTTGACCGAGTCGGAAGTATCCGTCACGAACGCTACAGAGTAGATTGTTAAAATATGGAAACCCAAAATTTAGTGAAGTGATTTTGCCCCTTAGCTGTTCATCAACCACCCATAAGTTTCGTCCAGATTTTCGCTGATTTTTTCGTGAACGTTCTGATTTTCCCCAGATCTTTGCCTGTCCAATCCAATATTGAAGTTGATTTTCGTTACAATGATTTTTAAGACGCGGGAATATACTGCACATTAGTTGGTATTGACCTTCTGCAGTTAGGAATTGTTTGGAATAACAACTGTCATTCAAAGGATTTTCATCGGTGGCAATTTCTTTCATAAGGTTCAGCAGACGATCCTTGCAGAATGGTATAACCGTGTTATCAAGCTTTCGTTTTTTAGACCTGTCCTTGTTACTGTTGTCGCTATTATTATTTTTATAGATTCTGCTGTTGCTATCGTCGCTGTCATTGCTGTTGCTATCGTTGCCGCTGTTGTTATCGTTGCTGTCACTATTGCTGCTATCGTCGTTATTGCCGTTGTTGTCCTTGCCATCGTGATAATCAATGTTATCAGGTAAATCTGTACATGGCATTGTTGGGGAATCGGGATAACTTATGAATTTGAAGGGATCTCGCTCGTGTACATTGATACCAATGGCCAACGGTTGAAAAGGATCGTGATTACGTATGTGTACTGCAATTAAACCACTT